CCCCTGCCTTCAGCAGCACTGAAGGCCCCCACCAAAGAGCCTCCGCGGTCCCATAGCAAGGAGCCGGTGACGCACACCCCAAGTGAGTGGGTCTGGGAAGGCGGGAGGTGGTGGGATGGGGTGTGGGGGGGTCTGGGTGCCCCAAGGGACAGCCAGCTGCTTCCCTCCATATTTTGCATCCCTGGAGAGGGATGAGCAGAGCTGCCCCTGGGGTCACGTCCACGGAGCATCAACCTCTGCTGTGCCCTGGGAGGTGCCAGTGCCACCCCCGGGGTCACAGCTCGGTCCCTGTCCCCCTCCTCTGCCCCGAACGATGCTGCTGGGGGCTGCAGCGATGCCGGGACGGAGCTGGGGGGGTCATAACACCCGGCAGTCCCCCCAAAAACCAGCCCTGCTGCCATCTGTGCCGGGAAGTGCCGCCGTGGTCAGGTTGGAGCAGGGACTGGGAGCAGAGAGGAGCCTCTTCCAGGAAGTGGGAACTGGAGAGCGCTGGGCTAATTACGGCGGGTAACCGGAGCCCAGAGCCCTCTGAATTATTGATCCCACTGGGATCCTTTCACCGCTGGCTCCTCTCCCGCGTGGTGCCGGCTGCTCCGGCATGGGAAGGGGCTGAGCCCATCCCTGCATTCACGTGTCCTGTGCAGATGCTGTGCAGACCCCAAATCCCCTCTCCTTGGCGAGACCATCAGTACCCCAAGGATGCCAACAGCAGCCATAACCCCCCCTACACCCCCTGTTTTCTCCTGCCATTAGGGACCACCACCACCAGCGCTCCGTTGACGGGCAGTCCCGAATTCCACCCGCCTGGCTTTGACACGGCCAGCTTCATCGGCGGGATGGGGGCTGAGCGTCCAAGCCGTGGTCTTCTTCATCATCAAGTTCATCAAGTCAAAAGACAGCACCTACCAAACGCTGTAAGGCTCCCGCACCCCCACCCGGGATGGAGGAGGGTGTTGGGGGGGGTCCCCATACTGGCTTGTCCCTGGGTCAAGGCCACCCTTGAAGCCAAAACTGGGGTCGTCCCGGGTGCGTGGGGCTCTGTGGCCCGTCTGGCCGTGTCCTGTCTCGCAGCTCAGTGTTGTCCCCGTGGCTGTTTGTGCCGCTCCATGGTCCGTCCTCACCCCGGGTAGGGTGCGGGGGGAGGATTTGGGAGATGGAGGGGCTCGTCCTCCCATGTGTGTCCCATCGCCGGTGTCCTGCTGCCTCCTCTGTCTGTTGCTGCCTGGCCGGATCCCGGCTCTGAGCCCTGTGGGGAGCACAGGACCCCCAAATCTGTCCCCCTGAGGCTGAGCCAAGCGGGGGGGCCATGCTGTTCTTCTCGCCCTCCTGGTGCCGTGGGGCTCGCCATGTCTAACGTGGGGGGCTGTGCCCCAT